ATGCTGATTATTGATATATGACTGATCGCTACTGTGCAATCCTCGTAATGTACTGGGACTAATCCCGCGAAAACAAGGATGCTGCTTTTGTCTATTCAGTGCCATTGACATGACTGACATCGTTCAAGTCTGGCTACTCCTCCCGAAGCCGTACAGTTTCGCCTCGGGATGGGCATCTGCGAGCCCAATATGCTGTACACCAACCATAAATACATAGCTGGGTGTGCTTTACTCGGCAGATCCGGTATGGGACCGCCCTGTCCTGGATCGGGATTGTAGCATTCCCGGCAACGCAGCTTCGCTCTTCTGCTAGGCTGGCCCAAGGCGAATTCGCCCAGTTCATGCTGGCCAGAGTAAGCTGCGGGCGAGCCACGACGTCACGCACCCGAGATGGGACGGGGACGCTCCAATCCCATGGCGGTCGGGTTCTCCCGCCGATACCATACTTAGCTACTATTGCTGAGAGAGGTTCCTCCGATCAGGCGACGCGTAGTGGGAGGGAGAGAGAGTGAGTAAGTGAGTGAGGGCGCACGCATGACATCCCTTCGTCATAGCCAAGGAGTGTGCGCTCTCTCTCATTAGTTCGTCATGTAGAGTTAGTAAGAGTCGTAGTGAGACATGTAGTAGAGATAGAGAGGAAGGAAAGCAAATAAAGAGGAAAGGGTGTGCCAAGTTGATGTGGCACACAAAAGACGATGAAAACGTCTTGGATCCCATGTTGAACGCCTGATGTTTTGGTTGTAAAAACAAAGACTGAACAAGAACCGAAGATCCAAGCTCAGGAGTGACTTGTGTCGCCCGAAATGTTGTATGACGGCCTCAAGCAAGACAACTCCACTTTAGATCATACCTGACACGTTCGCACCCATCCAAACCCATCCTGATGCACTCCCGCGCAGGCCTGTGGCCGGGGACGACCCCTTCGTCCCATGGCCACAGCGAGCTGTCGTCCTCCCAACATCTGTCAGATCTCGTCGCCCCCGGAGATCACAGAACGTTCCAGGCATCTTCGGCGGCGTGACAGAACTTGCTACACGCCACGCTGGCCGAGAGACTGTAGTTGCTGATGGAGATCTTCTCGTCGACAAATTCGTCGGCAAAGTTGTCGGTTCCCTTGGCCATGGCACCGACAAAGACGCACACGCTCTCCTTGGGCCCGACGCTTTCCACCCAGTCCCGGACACGAACTAGCGGCGCATCAAAACTGAGCGTCACCTTGCGGCAGTTTGGCGGCAGGTGGTCGGTGATGGGGTTCTGGATAACCTTGAGGAGCTTCTCCTGGGAGGTGGTGGAGCGGATCGAGAGGCGGTGCAGGAGCTGCACCATCAGACCGGCAAAGCGCTTAAAGGTTCGGGGGATGCGGACGGTGGGCGAAACCTCGATCAGGACGCCCTTGGCGGTGTGGATGTAGATTTGCAGCTGGCCAGCCTTGTTGATGGGAGAGTCGAGCAAGGTGAGAAGGCACTAGGTTAGCTCGGTCAGCATGTTGAATGCCCGACACTTGCAAGAGAAAAGAATTGCGGTCGCACCTGGTGGGTGATATCCGGGCGGGCATCACTAATGTCTCGGTTCATCTTCCTCATGACACCAATGTGCTCGTCGCTGTTGAGCAGCGAATACTTGTCGTCGCGCTGCATGCCCATGCGGCCACCGCCACCGTGCGATGCCTTATAAGTCTCGAGACTGGCATTGGAGAGGACGACAATGAGTCTCTGCGAGTCCTTGTCGCTCTGTGCGATGGGCAGCTGTTGCTCAGCTACGAGTTGAGGCAGGGCGGGCGGAGGAAGCGACTGCGTGCCTGTGGAAGAATCCATCGTGTCAGTTTTTTTTTTTTTTTGGAGGAACCAGAACGATCCTTGTGTGCTGTGCTTGAAAAGTGATTCTGTGCAGGTAACACGAGGTTTGGCGATGTGATGGTTGCAGCAATACGCAATTCCCAAACGAGCGGAATTCTTTTCTTTTCTCTCCCTCTCTTTTTTTTTTTCTGCTGTCTCGAGGCGGTTTGCGGGGACGCCAAAAAAAAAAAAAAAAAAAAGGGCCAGAAAAAAAGTAACGGCCGCTGGGATAGATAGCAAGCAGTTATCGGCCCTAAGACTCGAATCTAAAATGGGACCCCGCCAAAAAGCTATGAATGCCCTCGTGACCTCTTGAAGTTCGAGTACAACTCTTTGGCAAAAAACTTGTAAAGAAATGCAGAAAAATTGAGACGGAGAACAGGTAGGGAAGGGTGAATGGAATTGCCAGTTTCCCAAGGATCCCGGTATTCTCTCGAGCATTCTACCAGCCCGATAAAAAGCTGACCGGTCCAACCAATTCGGAAGAGGCTTGCAATGTGAAATGTGAAAAGCAGAAGGGGAGAGCGCAAACAACAAAGGTCAGAATGGCCATACGGTTTGCTGCTTGCTGACCACTGCCTGTCTCAGCTTGACCTTTGGGCCCAAGGAGACTTCCCCCGGTGTTGCCATACTCTTCCGCCCGTGATCATGGTCTTCTCTGCTTTGCTTTCGACATGTCGAAAACACACTGACGGGTACGAAATGCCTCAGAGGCGGGGAGAACTTACGAGGACGCTTGTTACCGGCGCGGGGCGGAGGGGAGGCCGACATGATGGTATATTCTGTAGGAAGGGAGTACGTTGGTAGGGTTTATGGCAGGTGGTAGTATGTGCCAGACTCGAGGCTGATGAAGAAGTATGTGTTATTGCAAATGCTGGTTTAGTTTGGAGCACAGAGACGGATCAATGGGTCTCCAACGAGCAGAAATAAAACCGGGGATCCGGTGCGGGTCAAGGCAAAGATGGAGTGAAATGTTTGGGGGAAGACTTCGGGAGATCTCGAACGAATGCCCAATTTTCGAGAGATCTGAGAAGAGAGAGACTCGAGCAAGACGGTAATAATGTGAGAAGAGGAAGATGAGGACGGATGGAAATATGGCTGAGCTAAGTAAGGTAGTAGGTAATAAGCGAGGTTGCCCACGAAAGTTTTTTTTCTCCCTCCTCTGTTTGTCCATCGGCGGCTTATTATTTTATCACTGCGGCTAGTAGTATTTATGGGTTGGCAACCAACAGCTGATTTTACCCCACCTCCACAGTCGTCGCATGCTGACGATGCTGCGAGTGAGATGCGAGGTAGGTAGGACCATTTGCATGGATGGACGGCACGGTATGAGAAACAATATCAAGTAGAAACGCCCGATACGTGTGCAAAGCCTCTGCACTGGGAAGTACGTTACCAATACATTGATACGTACATGGTCGAATATTGTCTTGCAATTCTCACCTCCCTCGATCGAGCTTACATGATGGCCGGGACCGAATACTACAGAGTTCTTACAGCCATTGGAACAAATCCCAGCCTGGACTCTGGGGGAAAGGCACGGGAACTGGATTGGCTGCCTATCTTGCCTCCATATTGACTGTCATTCGGAGGTACGCAGGCAATAATATCCACCCCGATCCCTCCGCCACCGATCCCACCCATTCGTAGTGCAGATCTGTCCGACCACAGAGCTCCATCTGAGCCCGAACTATACCCCGGAGTCCGTATCAGCCCTCAGTCCGAAATCCGACTGACTACACCCTGATTCCGCATTGTGAGAATCGCACCGCCTCGTCCGTGGAAATGCTGACTCGCATTTAATATGTACACAGGCAACCGCAACCAAGAGACGGACAGGTTCTGTAGACTGTCTCGACTGTCTGCCTTTTGAGGCATGCAGGCTAGCTGGTCCGCCAAGGCACCCTCTTCCGGCTTGGGCCGTGTCGAACTGTCTTACCTTGCTGCATGCACCCTTGCCGCCGAGGATGCCGATCTCAGTTTGGTGGTTTGGTAAGCCTCCGGTCGTGTAAAGTAAGACGGCACCAATACTGCAGATCAGATGTGCCCGCGATCATAGACTGGCCGTTCTCTTTACAAGTTGAATTGAATCTTGATTATGCTATGTTATGCAGGAACCAGGAGCTTCATAGCATAGTCCATTTGGGGAAATAGTCCTACATGTGCTGACATGCAGCTGGATTGAGCGAAAATGATTCTTGGCTTGTGGATATGCCATTCCTGACTCTAAGTCTCTTTTGCACAGACTAGCAAAATTAAATATACTATATAGATGTGTAATCATCGCTATAGGGGTGTTAAACACGTGTTGTATCTCGTACATACTCAGTCAGCTGTCCGTTACATCCAACTACACAATCAGGTCAAAGATGCTGTGAAAGCCGCAGCTCCGTAGAACAATACATATGGCAATCAAAAAAGTAGTTGAAGTCCAGGTGTCAGGATCACAGCACTCGTAGTATATATACTTAATGTACCTAGGTATGGGGTCAAGAGTAGGTAGTACATAGAAGTCTGAAGATTTGATAATTATAGAAACCTGGCAAAGTCTTGCGATCTCCTGCCATAACTCATGTACCCACGCATTACTCAGAGCTTGTGTCATTTGGATATTTTTGTCTCCTCAAGTTAGATAAATTCATGATTTGTTGAGTGCTCTATTGCCCCATCCCAAGAAAAATATTGCGCCCAAGAACACAAGTAAGCACTAAGAGTGTAAGACCTGCGGGAGGCAATAAGTTACCATGTCACTATAACACAGCTCTATGCCCCCCCTGGATGTTCAGCCGCATTGGACCTGATATGCTTGTCGAATAGAGAAAAGCATACTTCCTAAGACCACTTGTATTCCAAACGTTCAGTGATCTTAATATTCCTCGGCACAGCAGTATAACCATTACGTCGAGCTGATTTTGATTCAAAAGACTGCCAATTCGTTGAATACATTAGATACAGATTCTAAGGTGGGTTCCCGCCTTGCTTAAAGCCAAGTGCAAACGGGTCTGTTTGTCTGATGAGCACCCACGGTTTTGAGTTGGTCTACGGGACAATCTTTGTTTGGTGTATATTATTGTTGGATGCTTCATCTCATGTTTGCGAGTCCGGTGTTGCTGCCTTGCCAAGACAAGACATTCTAACCTCACCAGCTACCAACAACAAAGGGAAGTCCGATTGGCGCAGTGGCAGCGTTCTCGGTTTGGGTATTAATGAATTACTGATTCCGAGAGGTCCGGGGTTCGAACCCCCGATCGGACCTCATTTTTTTTAATTCCTTTAACACAAATCAAACTAACCTTTTTTCTTTAATTAATTATGCTAATATAGAATGCTAAACTTGGTATTAATATTCTTTATTTATTGTCTCATATATATCATAATAAACCAAGGACCGAGGAGTAATTCAGGTGTTGGCTTTGGTTTGTTTCTGAAAATCTCTAAAATATATTATATCCTTAATTGTGAACCAAAGTCCAACATGATACAAGAGCCGGTGGCTCCAGCTCGGTCGAGCCAATCACAGGCCCCCTGCTTGGCCTTAGCCAAACTCGGTAACCACAACGTGCCTGGCAATCCAAGCGACACCACGAGAGCCATGAAGCCGCTCGATCGATTTTCCCAAATTGGGGACTGCCTGTAAACCGTTCCCTCCCTTCTCAGCACCTCACCTGGCCCGGACAAGGAGCTCGGAAGTTTCGTTTCTGAGACGGCCGAGACGGCTCACAACACGAACAAGACACAGATTGCTTGCAGCTCAGCCAAGCAGAGGCTAGAGCTGGCACGATGGGTTTTCTCAGCACGCTATTCGCCTTTTTCCACTCGCATTTCTTCGTCACGCTGCCGGTGCCCACCAAATCCTTCGCGGGCCAGACCATCATCGTGACAGGGTCCAACACGGGCCTGGGACTCGAGGCGGCGCGTCACCTGGTGCGCCTGGACGCGGCCAAGGTTATCCTTGCGGTCCGCAGCATCGAAAGGGGCAATGCTGCCAAATCCGCAATCGAGGGCTCGACCGGCCGCAAGGGGTTTGTTGAGGTGTGGGAGCTGGATCTCGCACGATACGCCTCGGTCAAGGCCTTTGCGGAGAGAGCCGATAAGACGCTCGAGCGCCTCGACGTCGTGATCGAGAATGCTGGCGTGTTGACACAAAAATGGAGCATGGCCGAGGACAATGAGATCACCATTACCGTCAATGTAGTCAGCACATTCTTGTTGGCGCTCCTGCTGCTCCCGAAACTGAGAGAGACGTCGACCCGGTACGCAAAGGACGTAGTCCTGACGTTTACTGGCAGCTTCGTCCATTGGATCGCCTTGTTTCCCGAGAGAAAGGCAGATCGTGTGTTGGAAGAGACTGCAAAGAGAGAAAAGGCCTGGCTCTGGGACAGGTATTGGTAACCCAACGTACTCGTCTGCCCTGACTCACTAACGCCCTGGCCATAGGTACAATGTCTCGAAACTAATGGAGACGTTCGTCTTTCGCGAGTTTTCGGCAAAGCTCTCACAATCCTCGAAACCAGGCAACATCATCACTTCTATATGTAAGTAGATGCGGAATGTGACGCAGGGCCCGGAAAGCGAGCCATAATCCTATCCAATCCTTTGGCAGGTGTACGTACTGATGCTCGTGGTCAGTAAACCCCGGAGTCGTCATCACGGACCTGAACCGCGAGGTACAACGCGGTATTCTCGGTATACCTCGTCGCATTTTTATGCGTGTGATAGGTCGCACCCCCGAAGAAGGAAGCCGGACGCTCGTTCACGCAGCAGAAGGTGCACCGCAGACATGCGGGCAGTATCTAGACGACTGTCGAGTTGGAGAGTAAGTAACCGATTCCAGGTCATCTGTCATTTCGCAGTAATCGAAATTCCTGCTGATCCACGAAAGATATTCCACCTTTGTGAACAGCAAGGCAGGATCCGACGTTCAGAGAAGATTGTGGGATGAGTTGATGGAGAAGTTCGAGACACTCCAGCCGGGAATCTCTCGGAATATATAATGATGGAGAAGTAGAACAAGACAAAGATGACATTGATTATGAATCTTTCCGGACACTATGTATTTATTAGTGTTCACTGGGTCGTTGCGTAAGTCCTACATTCTTGGTAAGTAGGCTAGAGCTGCGTCTCCCGAGCTCTATACTTCACAGCGAGCGCTGAATAGAAACATTCAAATAGGTAACAAGGAAAGTAATAGTGTTGACGGCAGGCAGTAAGGCGTCATGACAGCTACAATAGAGTTAAAATTGGGTGTACCCAAGTAGGTAGTGCATCGCCGAGCTGATTTGTATGGAAGGATTTATATATGGGAGGTAACATGAATTGAGCGTCCAAAGCATTCCATATGTGAAGCTGTTCTCTTCTCAGTAGGTATGCAATTCAATTAAAGACTGTAAAATGCACGAAGTTAAAGGTCGGTAGGTAACGGTACCTAACTCGTACCTATCTTCAGCGTTTGGTTAGGTCAAGACAGCTAGCGCGGCAGGGGTTAATCCGGCTTGAGCATCCCTGTCCGAAATATTTCGAGCTTCAACCCGGAGGAAGAGTCTCTGGCATTCAATCGACAGTGTGACCCACGGCGGCGCATGTACGGTAATCCACTCGATTCTACGGGAATTCTTACGACGATACGCGGAACTTTATTCGGAATCCTCTCTTCTGTGATTCCGGCGCCTTGACAGAACAATAGACTGTCAGAGATCGCGACACGACGACACATACACAATGGCCGCCCCGGCCAGAACCGCCGCCGCCAACCTGTCGGCAAATGCGCTCGCCCATGCCAGCAACTCAGGCCGACAGCTAGTCGGCTCCAAGACTGCCGTCGTGGTGGCGGCAGGCACCATGGACAAGACGGTCAAGGTGCGGTTATGGGGCCAGCGATGGGAGAAGAAGGTCCAGAAGGTGAGACGGCAGCAGCCATTCCTCCGCCATTGAGCACGACAGAATAGCGGAGGGACCACGAGATAAGCTAACCTCAAGCCTTTGCGCGACCGGATAGAGCTTTCAAGTACCATCCTACCACCTGGTCCACGACCCGAACAACTCAGTACGCCAGGGCGACGTCATCAACATCTCGGCCGGCTGGCGCGCCTCGCAGCACGTAAGGCACATTGTGCGGCACATCATCGCGCCCAACGGCCCGCCCATCGACGAGCGCCCGCCAGTCCTGAGCGAGCAGGAGCTCTACGAGCAGTACGCCGCGAAGCGAGAGCTCAAGCTGGCCAATCGCGCCGTCAGAGACGCCGAGATCCAGAAGGCGACGGAAGCCGAGAGGGCCGCCAAGCTGGAGCGCAGGGCACGCAGGGAAGAGTGGGAGAAAAGCAGGGTGGAAGCCAGAGAGAAGAGGCTCGGAGAAGTTCGGGGGACTTTTGGCGATGTGGATTAAGGCAGAAAATAGACGCTACGGGGAAGAGGGAAACAGATGGAGAAGCGTTCCCTTGGGATTCCCTCATGTGGTGACGCAACGGGCACCAGCCAGCCTGCTGTCTTTCGAAGAGACAGAACGGCCACACATCATTTACGTGTCGTGTGTGTATATATATAAAGATGTACCAAAACTGTACAATGGCGACGGCGATGTTCATTACAACGGGTGCCGATGGTGAGACTAGATACACTGGATACATTGAAAGAGTCAATGAATTTTTTGAGCGTCTACGTTTATCATAAAAGACATCGTCTTTTTTGAAAAGCCAAAGGCATTGCTGCTTACTCCATGCTACGATACATGAATTGATCCGAAAGGTAAAGCAGGAGTCGGTCTTAACCACCACGTTCGCCGAATTGCTTGGCCCAGTCCTCATACTCCTTCAAGCCGTCTTTACTCACGCTTGGACGAATTGTGTTCAGGCTGGACTTGAAATCAACGAGCTCGATGGGCCGTATTTGATCCATCGTCATATGCAGCAGTGCCTCACCCAGCGACCGCAACGGGCCCATGGCGGCGTCCTTGGCCAGCGCGGTAATGTCGGATCCAGAGAAGCCATCGGTCAGCAAAACCAACTCAGCCATATCGTCTGCGGTCAGACTATGGTTTTGCTGACCGAGTAGCGTGCTGAGTTGGGTTGCCCTCGTCTCGGGCTCTGGCAGAGGAATGTATTGTCGCCGGACGAATCTGCGTCTTGCCGCCTCATCAATGGCCCACGGCAAATTCGTTGCCGCAAGTACCAGGACACGATTTGCATCGCCGGGCACGTCCCTGCTACCACTTGGACTTTCGCGCCCTGCTGCAGCCCTCTGAAGGTCACTCCACTGTATGAGGAATTCTGTCTTGATTCGTCGAGTTGCTTCGTGCTCACCAGAACCCGAGCGCTGTGACAACAACGAATCAATCTCGTCGACAAAAATGATGCTAGGCGCCATGGCCTTGGCTAAAGAAAAGAGAGCCCGGACAAGTTTTTCCGACTCGCCCAGATATTTGCTCGTCAGGCTACTAGCTGAGATAGAAAAGAAGGTTGACTTGGACTCGGTTGCAACAGCCCGGGCAAGCATCGTCTTTCCCGTGCCTGGGGGCCCAAACAGGAGCATGCCTCTGGCTGGTTCGCGCAGGCCCATAAAGAGATCTGGTCGCAGAAATGGATATACTACGGCCTCGCGTAGAGCATTCTTGGCGACTTGAAGCCCGGCCACGTCGCTCCAATGCACCTCGTCACCACGGACGACGATTTCGTTGAAAATAGCCTTGGCGGCAGCACTGTCGACGCCAGGTGGCAGTTTCTTGAGAATGGCCCTCTTCTTCTTTTCCCATTCGCTTTTGGATTTCTTCACTTCATTGTCGTCGTCTGACTCGGCTGAATGAGCTGGCAGGTCTGCCGGGACGTGGTTTTCCTCGCGTCTAGCCTCCCTGGTCCGTCGCAATGGTTGGCCTGTCGATGCCTCGTCCGACGACTCTGACGAGTTTTGGGGGCTCATCTTGCGAGTTTCGCGGGTTGCGCGGGCTGCGCGTTTGACAGCACTGTTGGGTGGCGTGCCGTGGCTAATCGGCTTCCTCCTCCCCGGCACATCGCTTGAGCTTCGACCAGAACCAGATTGTTCCGTAGACAAAAGTGCAGAGCTGCGGCTGGCGTCTTGTGTGGCAGATGAGCTGCTCTTGAGCTTTCCCGCGCGATCAGTCCGTAGTGATCCGGGACTGGAGTCTGCTCGATCATGGGCCGATAGATAGCTGAGAGCGCTAGACGCCGCGCCTACCGCCAGCGGCGATGGACCAGGATCGGGGTATTCATCAGCCTGCTTCATCGACGAAGCTTCCGCATTGGACG